GTTTCCCAGTACCATCCGTCATTTTCTCATAGTATTGCATTGGATGTTCAAGGTCCATTATATGAGTGAGAACATGTGATATTCGGATTTTTGTTTTTGTGAGAGGTCACTCAGTATTATAGACTCTAGTTCCATCCAGGTTGCAGCGAAATTCATGATTTTGTTCTTTTTTATGGCTGCGTAGTATTCCATCGTGTAAAGACAAATTCTTAGGACAAGATGTTAATCTTAACGTATTGCGAATCACCCAGGATTCTGGGAAATGATTATTGTTGTGTATGAGCTCAAGGAGACCAGAGAAACTCCATTTTGTGCTCTGTCCTTTCAGCTAATAACTTACCAATATTTAATTTCTTGTTACTAACTTTCTTAGTGTCTTCTTCCCACACCAAGGTGGGACATCAGGAGGGTAAGAACCTTGTCTGTCTTGTTTGCATCAAATGTACAGGACGGTGCTTGGCTCAGAATAAGCTTTTCAGAGGTATTTGTTAAATCAGAGAGTGGAGAGTCTAAGGATTTTGAAAGGGCTTTGATCTCAAGTGAGTAACTGTAAAGACTTGTCTTAGACAAGGTAAAATTATATGCAGGTACCTGCAATAACTGATGTCCAAAAATAAATGTTCCTTATAAACTCCCAGTATTTTAATAATAAAAACTGTATCCTAGCCGGGCTCGGTGGCTCAGCCTGTAATCCCGCACCTTTGGGAAGCTGAGGTGAGTGGATTGCCTGAGCCCGTGGGTTCAAGACCCACCTGGGCAGCGAGACCTCATCTCTACAATAAATAATAAAAAAAAAAATCAGCTGGGCGTGGTAGCGCATGCCTGTAATTCCGGCTACTTGGAAGGCTGAGGTGGAAGGATCGCTGGAGCCCAGCAGGTCGAGGCTGTGGTGGCCGGGAGCGGCCACTGCACTCCAGTCTGGGCGACAGAGTGAGACTCCAACTCAAAAACAAAACAAAACAAAACAAAAAAGCTAACAAACAAAAACCTGTATCCTTACCTGTTCTGATTCCAACTAGAAAAATATTGCATTAAAAATGTCTCACCAGTTTGACATAATATTCTGATTGCAACTCACTCCCAAGACTCACATCTGTGTAGCACCCTTTCTTGATGAGGGGTACTGCCCAGCTGAGAAACAATCCATTACTCTGTGGACTGCAGGGAACCTTAAACCTTTTACCATCACAGTTTTTCAGTGTACCTACCAATGGGATACCAATGGAGGTAAAAAGAAGTTCACTGTGGCCCCAGAACTGCCAGTGATGGAGCTGGAAGTACTAAGGGCTCTGATTCCTGGTTCTGAGAGCTTTTTACCGTGGGTCACCTGACCTGGCACAATACCCTTGTTCTCTTTAATAATATGTCCCTCCAGTGACTCATCTATGTCCTGAAACAAAGAGGAAAGCAAGCACTATAGGCACTGCACATTTTAAAGAAGAGTCACCTCCTTAGATGATGGTATCAAGGGAAAGAGCAAGGTCTTCTGTGAGGGATTAGAACAGCACTGTGAAAACAGGACACGTCATTCTCAGGCACTGAGGCCAGTGCAGGAGAGGGGTGAATGATTCCATAGGAACTTTCCAGGATGTCGAATCTATGAATTTTGAATGTGGTAGTTTGACACAATTTAGAGGAGATTTTACTATTGTTACTGGAAATGATTTCTTGCCTGAGATCCCCAGCAAGTCAGGGAATTACTTTGCTATTCTGATGTGTGACGGTCTTGATAAAATATTTCCAATTTCTATAGCAGCAACCCATTAGCGGTTTGGGGATTTGGAAGGACTGTTATTCAGTCTTGATTTACTCTGCTTGGAACTCTTGTCTTTTTTACGTTTCTGATGTTGTCTTTCTTCACTTCTTTTACTTTAAATTGTACTTATTTAAGTAGGTAACCTATCAAAGGCATACAAATGAAGTAGAATGAATGGTATAATAAATCCTTTCTACTCAGCGTCTACATTATTGACTTTTTCTTTTTTTTCTTAGTAAAAGTTCTCCCTGAAAAGTACACAACTTTTTAAAGGACAAGCAGATTTTCTTTTTGGTAGAGTTTATCAGGAGGATCTCCTTACGTTCCGGCTAGGAAAGACAAGATGGTGATTAAGGAACAGAATCAAAACATCTCATTCTATCTCATTAGTAGATGTAGTATCCCTTCATGATTTAGGGCAGTGGTTCTCCGCGTGTGATTCCAGGGACCAGCATCAGCAGCTGTACCTGTGGACTTGATAAACATACAGGCTTGGATATCCCAACCCAGACCTTCAGAATCAGAAATTCTGGGGGTGGCCTGTGGTTCGTATTTTAAAAAACCATCTAGGGGATGGTTTGTGCATGTAACAATTGGAGGGTCATCATTTAGAGTGTGATCTCTGGAGTCCAAAGCCCCAGGCTCTGTCTCAGCCCCAGCACCAACCTTGTGTGACCTTGGGATGTTTCTTCTGCGATGCAACTCTTTCATGACAAATGCTAGCTTGTACACTGATGTCAATGGGTTGCTGGAACACTTACCTAGCAGGGGAAGTCTATACTACAAGGGGCCTATCCCCCAAAAGATTATTTCTTTTGGGGGGATCCCTTCTTATCTGTTCAGGAGAGGTACCTCATTGTTGGGATCAAACACCTCCTCTTCCCTTTCTCTAAAGTATAACATGGTTTCAAAGAAGAAGGCAAGTACCTGAAGAGAATAGGATGATGGCAGAGTGCTTCAATCATGGTGGTTTTGAGTTACATAAAATTGCAACAATATTCAGTTGTTTCTATTAAGCAAAAACACAGGCAGAAACATTTCTATTTTATTTTTCTTACTGCCTGCCCTCATTGAAAGGTAGATATGAAAACCTAGACTGTGTGAATAAGACATATAGATGACAAATTATTAGTCAGAAGTTCAACTTCTTTGATATTCCTTTCTATTCCTCTATTCTATTCCTCTCTGTCCTGCACGTAGAAGCCAAGTGCAAATGCCTTAAAAGTAATTTTAGGCATAGCTGTTAATTTGATTTCCTAATTACTTAGTTTTAAATTCACTCAAGTAGTCAGTGCATGTGAAACACATGTTGTTGAAATTGAAGTTTGCAAGCATTGTTGTGTGGTGCTGGAAGATTTGCAGTAATCCAGAAAGATTATTTGGGTGTCTAATAAAGCTTCAGAACATGTGTAGGCAGTTATTACTCAGAGTATTGACTGAACGGGTGAACATGCTGTATAAATTTTGTGTAATTGCTTAACTAAGCAAATAGCTTTTGGTTGCTTTTAGATAATAATTTTACTTAAAAAGTAACCATTCTTCCATTTCCCTCCCCTCTGTGCCACACTTTGTTTGGTTTCTGGGGCTTTAATATTCTCATGTCCTTGAATATTCCTTGAAATGGGAATGTGAGCCCTGTCAAAAGAATGCAAGTGGTTCTGTCCTGAATTGAACAGACCTCGCACGGAAGGTGAAGTGTTTGGGTTGGAAACCTGCCCTTGAGGTGCCCACTCTGTATAGTAGGCATACAGTCTTGCACTTTCGACCTTTGCACCTTTGTTTCTCAATGAAATGCTTATTTTTTGGCTATTGTGATTTCCTTTGTGAACACTCTTCCCTTTGCTTTTGCCCCATTGAGGCTCAAAATGCCCAGCAGCTCCATGAACGAATCCAGTCCTCGAGCATGGATGCCAAGCTAGAAGCCCTGAAGGACTTGGCCAGCCTCTCCCGGGATGTCACGTTTGCTCAGGAGTTTATAAACCTGGATGGCATCTCTCTCCTCACGCAGATGGTCGAAAGCGGCACTGAGTAAGCATCTTTTATCCAGATTTCCACATCTGTCCTATTCATTTCAGCATTGTGGGTATTTGTTACATTCCTTATACTTGCAATTTCTAGTTTTAAAGACCAGAAACTTGTTTAGACTCAGGAAAAAAATAGTTTTTAAGATAGTGGCTAGGTAGTGGGTTTCTAATTTTAGTAGCTGTACATCTTCCACCTACTAACCAGTCAGTATCTAAGACATGGTAGAACTCCTTGAAACACCTGAAATTTCAGATTTAGGCAACAAAAAATATTAGGTCATTATCTCTAAGGGCCTTGCACATGTTAGAATTATAATTCCAGAAAATATTAATCCCTCACATTCTTGCCTATCTCCAAGAAAAATGGTTTTCTTTTCTGACTCCATTTAAATAAATTAAAATATTCATGTTTCAAAATATTCAACCAGGTCAAGATGTCATCCCTGAAGTAGTTTTTTAAAAAAATTAATACTCAACAGGCTTGCTGATTGATTGCATACGGAAGCAAAGATAGGTACTACATATAACTTCAAGAATTGGGGCTTAGGCAAGGAGGTGGGTGGTAGTGTACCTTACAGGGTTGGGAGAGACTGGGAGAGAAAGGCAATGTTCAGAATGTGAAAACCAAATCTTGTTTTACTGATTGTGTGTAGTTCAGATCAGCTGAAGTAGAGTGTTTCATACACATCATCTTGTATAATTGCAGTTGAACGCAGGCATTATTAACTTAGTAATAAGATACTTAATCCTGAATTGTACCCTGCATCTCTAAAATTTTTAAAAAGATAAAGTTAAAAAAAATGAATACTTGAATGATTAAATACATGTCCTTAATTATTTAAAATGAAACACAGTAAACATGTATTGAGTATCTACTGTGTGCAAAAGAGTGACAAGTGGGAAAGTTTTTTCATATGAGCCTTACCTTCCAAGGATTGATGACGCTTATTATATAGGCAGAATTCAACTGTGTGTCATTCCTTCTGAAGGCTAGGAGTTTAGAGGGTGGACCCATTATATCTCATCAAGTCACACAGAGGAGGTGACAGTGAAGTGGACCTTGAAGCAGTTTGAGTTCCCTCGTATGGACGAAGGGATGGATACTCTGACTGGGAGCACACCTTCTCAGTGAAGGCTTTGATTCTCTCATGCGACTCAGGGAGTATAAGGAGTCAGGTGGGGCTAGTGCTACACCGTGTGCCAGGGTGGATTGAACAAGGGGCTGCTCTTTCTCATATGGTCAGGAGCTATTGACATTGGCCAGTAGATCATGTGATCATGTAATTTGAGCTAAGTTAATAATGTGCAGAGTTGGAATGTGTGTTAATTAAGAACTGGAGGTTTATTACGAAGGATATTTATTAGGATGCTTTTAGTTCTCTTCAGTAACTAGGGATGTAAATAGTGAACTGATGACTGTTGGAGACCTTTCTGTGCTCCCTCTGTGCTCCCTCTATTATCCCATCCTCTCCTCTCCCTCCTGTTCTTCCTCCCTCCCCTCCTCTACACCTGTCATTTAACTTCTGCAGTTGGTACTAGTGAAAACTTTTTTTCTCATTGGAAGAAAGGACATTCTTTAGAGTGTGGAGATGGGGATCTTAGCTTACAGACAAGTAGAGAAAATCTTTGAAACTGAATAAAGGGGGATAAAACTAAGTTCGAGAAAACGGACTGCAGGCTTGGGTGATCAGGAGAGGGTCACCTTGTAGATAGGAATCATTTTTTTTCCCCCAATGGTTGCTAGACCTCTGCTTATGAAATTCTGGTGTACCTCAGTCTGGAGTGGGACAGGGAAATGCAAACCCTGGGTGTTATCAGAATCCAGTGTGGTTACTGTACGTTGGAGCTGGAGCTCGAGTCAGGGATTCAAGGAACTAGACAAAGGAAAAAGATACAGAGCGTTCTGTCTGTGACTAAAACTTCAAGCTTGAATCTGGTCTGGAAGGTGTCAGGCCAGATTAGGATCCTTGTTCCCAGTGAGCATTGGAGGAGGACGAGTTGTGATTATAAACACCTTCACTCTTTAACTGTGGATTACTTCATGTAGCTGCCAGACCTGGTAGGCCTGTGCTACATGCATGCCTCTGCTTCTAGTGGGGCAGGGAGCCTCCAGAGAGTCTGCCTTGGTGACATTTAGTAACATGTTAAATAAAAAAATAAAAATGCTACCTTGTTTATTGATTTATCTGAGTCTCAGCCATTGATACATTAATGTCACTTGCTGATATTAGGAGGTTCTGCCATAGATACCTAGGTATCTGGGGGCTTGTGCTCTTAAGTATTCAGGAGGATACTGTGTCCTTCCAAAATTACCAGAATTGCAACCGTAATTACAAGGACCACAGAGAGAATATTAAAGCAAGGACTCATGTGATCTGGATCCTGAGTATGGGGCTGTGGTAGAGCCCCAAACCTCCAGAGGCGTGTTTTGACAATGAAAACTGTGCCAGAAGCATTTGTTTGCCATAACAAGATACCACAGACTGGGTGCCTTGAACTACAGAAATTTATTTTCTCACAGTTTTTGGAAGCTAGAAGTTCAAGATCAAGGTGTTGGCATGGTTGGTTTCTTCTGAGGTCTCTCTTTGGCTTGTGGATGACTGCCTTCTCTCCCTGTTCTCACGTGGGCTTTTCTCTGTGTGTACACATTCCTGGTGTCTCTTCTGTGTCTAAATATGCTCTTCTTATCAGAATGCCAGTCAGATTAGATTAGGGCCCACCCTAATGGCTTCACTTTACCTTAACCACCCCTCTAATGGCCCTGTCTCCAAATACTGAAGTACTGGGGGTTAGGGCTTCAACATATGCATTTTGGGGGTGCACAGTTCAGCCAGTAACACTCATCAGAGGGACACTATCACTTTTGCTTTAAAAGAAAAAGAGTAAAAACTGACACTATGTGTTTGCCTTGTCAACATTCTTATTTTTTATCAGTGTTGATGCCTTATTCTGTCCTCATCTCCACCTACAGAGCAGCCCAAAAGGTTCACCATCCCTCAGACCCATGATTGGGGACAGCAGATCTGAATTATACCTCCATGTTGTGCATATACAGTGTGAGAGAAATACTGAACGTATTTCATGTGAATCAAAGCAACTGAATACCTTTTTAAAGAAATAAAAATAAAAAGTATCATGCTCATTAACATTTTAACTACAGTTATGCACTGCATAATAATGTTTTGGTCAAAGATGGACCACATGCGTGATGCTGGGCCTGTAAGATAGTAATGAAGCTACTTTATATAGGTGTACCATTATAAAGCTTTTTTTTATTTGTTTTTGAGTTGGAGTCCCATTCTGTTGCCCAGGCTAGAGTGCAGTGGCACGCTCACAGCCACTGCATCCTTGACCTGCTGGGCTCAGGCAATCCTTCTGCCTCAGCCTTCCAAGTAGCTGGAACTACAGGTGAGTGTCATCACGCCCAGCTAATTTTTTTGATTTATTGTACAGATGAGGTCTCACCATGTTGGCCAGGCTGGTCTCGAACCTGTATGCTCAGGCAATCCTCTCAGCTTGGCCTCTCAAAGTGCTGGGATTATAGATGTGAACCACCATGTCAGGCCTTTTACATTCTTTTATTTTTTGAATTGGAGTCTTACTCTGTCACCCAGTCTGGAGTGCGGTGGCATGCTGATGGCCACCACAGTCTCGACCTGCTGGGCTCAGGCGATCCTTCTGCCTCAGCCTTCTAAGTAACTGGAACTACAGGCATACACTACCATGCCTAATTTTTTATTTATTGTAGAGACAAGGTCTCACCAAGTGCCCAGGTGGCTCTCGAATCCGTGAGCTCAGGCACTCCACTCGCCTCGGCCTCCCAAAGTGCTGGGATTACAGGCTGAGCCACCGAACCCAGCTGCCTTTTATATCTTTTATATGCATTTTTGCTCTGTTTTTTCTGTATTTAGATATGTTATATACAAATATTTCCCGTTGTGTTGCAATGGCCCACCGTGTTCAATCCAGTCACATGTTGTACAAGTGTATAGCTCAGGAACAATAGACTATACCGTATAGCCTAGGCATGCAGTAGGCTATGCTGTCTAGGTTTGTGTAAGTACACACTATGGTGTTCATACAAGGACGAAATCACCTAAAGAGGCATCTCTCAGAATATATCCACATTCTTAAGTGGACACATTCCTATATTTATAATAAGTTGTGAGCTATTACAGTTTGATATATACAGCCAGGTTTCAGACAGATAACCAGAATTCAAGACCAGATCTTGAATAAAATGTGTTCCTTTTTGCATTTTCCTCTTATACTTTCCCATTAAACTATACTTCTGAGAAGTAATGATATCTCTCTGGGTCACCTTTGGTGTCCCCTTTCCTGTTTCATGTAAGTTCAAAGTCATGCAGCTTTCGGCGACGGAGGAAGGAGGGACTAGAGCTGCCAGGCCGCCTGCCTTCCTTGTGCTGGCCCTGCGGCTCATGGTGAGAGGTGGCTCACTTGATCCGCAGCTAGTTTTTAGATCTTTTTGCTCAAATGAAAAAGAAAAGAGAAAGCCATTTTTTAAAAATAAGAAATTCTGGTTTCTCAATTAAACTTATAGCAAAACTAATTAATTAACTGGAAACCTTTGGAATAGACACCACACAAATTAAATAGATCCTGCAATTTGGAAGGCATTTAGTCATGAGTCCTGGGCAGCCTTCCAGCTGGAGAAGGTGGAGGCTTTCTAAGCAGGACCTGTGGAAATTTTTAGTAAACACTGAAGAAACGTAGCTGGAATTTTTCTCCTTACTTTTAGTAATAATGAGATTCAGAGATGACTGGTTTGCTTCTCATTACCCAAGGCTGAGCTTTTAAAAGTTTTCTCTCTCCAGCTGGTACTGGGAGGGGTCATGGGGCAAAATCAGCAACAAAGGGACAATGAAGAAGTGTCATTTTGGCAAAGCACAGTATTTAAAAGCTGAATTTAATTTTTCTGTCCTTGTGGAATTTTGAAATTCTGTTCCTAATTTGTGCTTGAAACATAGGTGCAGAAGCAAATAA